AACAGCAAATTCATAATTAAGATCTCCTGTTATGATTATAGAGGCAAGATTCAAAACAGAAATCCTCAACATTTTCCTTTCAATGTATTGCTGTTCATTTTACTTTCTGTATCTTCACTATTGTGTCTTGTGTTTGAAAAACAAGTGTTCCCCAAAGAAAAATCATTATATGCTTAAGGAGTTAACCAAGGAGGAAAGCTACCTGTACACTGAAAACTGTAAAACATTTCTGGGAGATATTAAAGAAGAAATTGCTTCATGGAAAGCTATCCCATGTTCATGGATTAGAGAACTTAATATGATTAAAATGTGAATACTACTCAAACCAATCCTCAAATTTAGTGTACTGTCTAAGCGGCAGTGAGATATTTTTACAAAAACAGGAAGGTCACCCTGCGTGTGGTGGCTCACATCTGTAATTCTATGACTTGGAAGGTTGAGGAAGGAAAATTACCAGTTTGAGGCCAGCCTGAGCTATGTAGTGAGTTGCAGGCCAACCTAGACTACAGACTGAGACCCTGTCTCAAACAAAAAGATGAAAATTATAAACACCAATGCTAATATTCATTGGGAATCTTAAGCAACCCTAAATAGCCAGAACAACTCTGAAAAAGGTCTATAACTCATTATGCAGTTGAGGCTGGCCTTGAACTGATGATCCTCCTAACTCTTCCTCCTAACTCAGCCTCCCAAGTCGTGGAGTTACAGGTGGACACTGGTGCACAAGGCCGACTCACATTTCCTGATTTCAAAATTTATAAGAAAGCAACAGCAAGGTGGGGTATGGCGGCCACACCTTTAACCCCAGCACTGGGAGGCAGAGGGAGTTGAATCTCTGTGAGTTCGAGGCCAGCCTGGTTTACATAACAAGTTCTAGGCCACAAAGTGCTACATGGTGAGACCCTGTCTCCAAAAAAAAAAAAAAAAAAGAATAAAATAAAAATAAATAAAAACGAAGCAGATTAAGACAGTGTGGTAATGGTGGTGCACGCCTTTAATACCACCACTTGGGAGGCAGAGGCAGGTGGATCTCTGTGAGTTCCAGGTGAGCTGGGGCTACTGGGAGACCCTGTCTCAAAAG